CCACCGCCACGTCCGCCGCCGAAGCCTCCACGACCGCCTCCACGGCCGCCGCCAAATCCGCCATCCTCACGCGGAGGACGTGGTTGAGCGTAGTCCAGGCGCACAGGACGTCCGCCAACATCGACACCCTGAAGAGCGTCGAATGCAGCCTTCGCCTCGTCCACTGAACCCATCTCGATGTAGCCGAAGCCCTTTGGCGCACCAGTGTCACGGTCGGTGGGCAGGCGGACGCTGTTCACGTTTCCGTGCTCGCCAAAGTATTCGCGAACGACATCTTCAGTGACCTCGAAGCTCAAGTTGCCACAGAAGAGGGTGGCAGTAGGCTCGCCAGGTGTGTCGCCATACTTCTGCTGGCGGTCGTTACTGCGCTGCTGAGGACCAGCGTTCTTCTCGCGTGGAGTGCTGAAGTCGACACGGATGTTGCGTCCGTCCAGCTCCGCCTCGTTCTTCGCCTCGAGTGCCTTCGCGGCATCCTCAGCGTTGACGAACTCCACGTATCCGAACCCCTTGCTTCTGCCAGAGTCGCGGTCCGTGATGATGCGGACACCAGCGAGCTCTCCGAACTCCTCGAACTCGCGCGTGAGCCACTCTTCATCGACACTCCAGCTAAGATTGCCGACGAAGAGGTTGGCAACAGCGCCTGTGGTGTCCGTCTTGGCCTTCTTGGAGGTCTCCTCTGGCTCGCTGTCGGCCTTGCGCTTCTTGCTCTCGGTCTTAGCCGCGGGCTTCTCCTCTTCCTCTTCATCACTGTCGCTGTCGCTCGAGTCGTCGGAGCTCTGTTGAAAATGTCAGTCGGTTGTAATGCAAGTAGCGATGCGTTAGCCTTACCTCGTCAGCTGCAGCCTTTGGAGCCTCTTCATCAGACTCTGAATCATCGTCGCTGGAGTCGTCAGATGAGTCGTCCTTCTCAGCTTTCGAGGCCTTGCCGTTGACCTTTGCAGCCTCAGCCTTCTTGGCAGGTGATGCGGCGTCGCTGTCACTGTCGCTGCTGTCGTCAGAGTCATCGCTGGAGTCGTCCTTCGCGCCAGCCTTGGTAGCGCCGTTGGTCTTTGGCGCTGGAGCAGCCTCGCTGTCGGAGCCGGAGTCAGAGTCGTCGCTGTCTGAGCTGTCGTCCTTGGCAGCGGCTTGCTTTGCCTTGCCGTTAACTTGAGGCTTCTTGACTTCAGCCTCCTCTTCGTCACTGCTGTCGGAGCTTGCGCTAGTCTCATCCTCGCTCTCGCTCTCGCTGGATGGCTCTGGCGTTGGCTCCTTCTTCGACTTCTTCGACTTCTTCTCGACAGCCTTGGCAGTCTTCTTTGCAGTCTCCTTCGCGCTAGCCTTGTCAGACTTGCTCACGCGGCCAGTCTGAACCTTCTCGATAGGCTTAGAGCTGGACTTGCTGCTCTTGGCTGGAGCCGCAGCGGCAGCAGCCTTGTTTCCCTTCTTGTCCTTCGCCATTGCTGAAGGTCTGTGATGATAACTCTGCCCGGATATAGTCAGTACTCGAATGTCTCAATCGAAGTATCAATGAACTGCTCGACAAGGTCGGAGCAGTGGCAGAAGCCTCTCGTCTCAGAAACCCAGCAGGAAGAACGCAAGCGTTCACTCTCAGTAGCAACAATCGCAAATGCCCACGCACGAAGCAAGTCGTGTAAAGCCCTCAGAAAAGCCCTCGAGACTATTGCGCAAGCGCAATGTCCTTTTGATGCCCTCAGATAGAGTCTCACTCGAAGTGAGATTTGCAAAGCCCTCGAACGAAAATTTCGTCTTCAGCCCACTGGTCGCGTGTCAAGGCGAGTGTTCCCACAACAGCCAAGACGGTTGTGCGACACTGTTACCCAGCCCACTGGTGCCTGTAGCGAGTAGCTGACAGGTCTCTGATGCCGCGCCCACAATTGCACACAAGGTGCGAAATGCTCGATCACGGTGCTAGAGGTAGCGTGTGAAAGAGTATGAAAAGCCCACGAACCGAATATGTGTTGCGCTGTTGCGCGATGTGAAGTGTTGATGATGCTGACAGAGAATGCCGACGATATGAAAGGTGCGGCGTCAGGTGTTGGGAAGTTGTCGAGTGTGAGAAGAAAGAGTACCGGTTCAGATGGCTGGAGAGCTTTTTATGCTTTCAACTTTTTCTCTGCGCTAGCGTGGGCAAGCCTTGACCACAGGGTCCTTAGCCGACCGCTCCGGAGCCGAAGCCGACGCTAGCTTGGCGTGGCTAGCGCCGAGACGATGAAATAGATTGAACGACACGTCTCGTTTTTGGCCAAGACAATAACTTCCGGAATCTGTTGCTGACCTGGATTGCAAGCTGCAGCATGACCCGATAGCTGACAGTCGAAGTACAGAATGGCCCCGAACACCCCCTCCCATCGACCGAGAAAGAAGAGAAAAGGAGACTTGGTCTCAAGCAGCAGCTCCAATGGCACAGTGTACCAAGATCCTACAACAAAACACGACCAGCCTGCATTTCCTCTGGTGGCATTCTTCTGGCCGATAAAAGGAGCTCTATCGCAATGGGTAGCATTGCCATGCATCCTCATGGTAGTCGGACTCTTCCGCTGGTGCACCGCCATCTGGCCATATTCAGGATTCCAAAAACCTCCCATGCACGGCGATTTTGAAGCTCAGCGCCATTGGTTAGAGATTACAACAAACCTGCCCACAACACACTGGTACTTTCACGATCTTCAGTGGTGGGGTCTGGACTATCCTCCGTTGACGGCGTACCACTCGTGGCTTCTCGGAAAAATTGGCGCATTCATCAACCCCTCGTGGTTCGCACTATATCAGTCTCGCGGACTGGACGATCCGGACTTGAAAGTCTTCATGCGCGCTACTGTTTATCTTTCCGAGCATCTGGTCTACATCCCGGCAGTGGTCGTCTGTGCACGACATCTCGCGCGTCTGCACAACATCAACTCATGGGAGGCAGCGATTGCGTTGACTGCAATTCTCATGCAACCTGCCACCATCCTTATTGATCATGGACACTTCCAATATAACACAGTCATGTTGGGGCTGTTCGTGGCTGCAGTTTCCAACATACTTGCTGGGAGAGCACTCTGGGCCTGCCTCTTTTTTGTGGGTGCGCTCGGCTTCAAACAAATGGCGCTCTTCTGGGCGCCAGCAATCGCAGCGTACCTCGCTGGTACTTGCATCTTTCCGCGAGTGGATATAGCCCGCTTGTTTGGCATCGCAATAACTACAATTGGCTCATTCGCCCTAGTCTTCCTGCCGCTACTGTTAGGCACGGCCTGGGATGCATATCGCGGCATTCTGCTACCGTCTGACGCGACATTGCCACCGCTTTTGGACTCGTTACCTTTCAAATTGGACGATCAGGCAGTCTACTGGCCTTATGTAGTACAGCTTGCCCAAGCTGTGCATCGGATCTTTCCGTTCTCGAGGGGCTTATTCGAAGACAAGGTGGCCAACATCTGGTGCACGATCCACGCATCAGGCGTTCACAAACTCCATCAGTACGATCAAGGACTACTGAGTAAAGCCGCTCTAGCCCTCACACTGGCATCGATACTACCTCCGTGCTTGATCATCTTCCTCCGGCCGAAGAAAGAACTAGTTCCATTGGCGCTGGCCACGACAGCTTGGGGATTCTTCTTGTGCTCGTATCAAGTGCATGAGAAGAACATTCTATTGCCTCTTTTGCCGATGACATTACTCCTGGCAGCAGAAAACGGAATGAAGCCCGCCATTCGAGCATGGGTAGGATATGCCAACCTCGCCGCCAACTGGACCTTGTTCCCACTCCTTTCCAAAGACGAGCTGAGAATGCCGTACCTGGTCCTGACGTCTTTATGGGCATACCTCATGGGTCTCCCACCTTTCAGCATCAGCGCCTACACGAAACCCGCGAGTGAGGGCGGCGTCAATGTGCTCACCAAGCTCGTCCACCTGGGCACGTACCTGGCCATGATAGCGTGGCATGCCGCGGAGCTTTTCGTGCCACCACCGAAGGACAAACCAGACCTCTGGATAGTAGCAAACGTGTGCCTGGGAGCTGCGGCTTTCGGTCTATGTTACCTTTGGTGTCTTTGGGACCTCGCAGTCCAGAGCGGCGCATTGAGCTTCGTCGGCATCCACCAGCCATCAACGACCACAGAGAAGAAGACGAAATAGATGGATAGAAATCGGTTGTTCCGATCGTGTGAGCTGAGAGCAGTGCTCTATCGTGTTGTAAATATGTACAATAGTGTACAGTAGTGTACAGGCCATATCTGTGCCTCCAAATTCATCATGCTCTTTCCCATGGGAACGCCCAATCTATGCTTACAAGCTTTTTCTCATCCCGACTACGCGATGTTGAATCCATAACTGCTCATACAACTTCGGTACTTCGAGACCAGATCCTGGCAAGCTTCCTGTGGGTCTTTGGCGTTGGAGAAGAGCATGCATTCGTCGCGGGCGGCTTTTTCGTCTTTGCATACGCAGCAGGGCTATGTGAGTGTTAGCCAGTGTAATGCCGCGCAAGCCTGCGCATTATGCGCACCTTCACTTTCGCAGCACTCTCGCCCTTCGGTTTGAGGTCCGCAGCAGCATTATTGGGTTGAAGCGCGGTGCTATTCGAGTCTGGGTCGCATTAGTATGTACTCAAATGTGCTCATCCATGCGCGAAGGTCGATCGCGTACTCGAAGCCATGGTATTGATCGCGGCGGTCGACATGGTGATGGATCGTGGTGGAGTGTAATTGAGATGTCTAGAAAATGTCTAGACGCTCTAGAAGTTCGCGACTGCCGGCGAGCACGTCACTCCGAAAGATGCGATAAGGTTTGTCAGCATGCATCGGCCCCTGCATCTCTCTGCAGAGCCGCACTAATTCACCAATTTCTCAAACGAGTCAAGTGAGGTTGTCTGGTCGACAAGGATCTTTTTGTCCCCCCACTTCCAGACTGTCATCCCACTATTGCTTCGTTTTCGAGCGGACTGCACAACATTCCTTGGAGAAGACACAACTTCTGCACATACATCGAGTCGACATGGCCAACGTCTGGAGCATTCGAGGCCAAGCCCTCAAGCTGAACACGGCCGAAGATATCGAGAAACATATCGGCCCACTGCGAGACAACGCCGACATCGAAGAAGTGCATCTCGAAGGAAACACAATCGGCGTCGAAGCCTCAGAGGCCCTAGCCAAAGTTCTCGAAACGAAGCAAAAGCTCAAAACCGCCAATCTCGCCGACATCTTCACCGGCCGTTTGCTCTCCGAAATCCCCCAAGCACTCGACGCCCTCCTCACAGCACTCCTGAAGTGCCCAAACCTCCACACAGTTAACCTCAACGACAACGCCTTTGGCCTCAACACCGTCGAGCCTCTCCGCCCTTTCCTCAGCAAACACACCCCCTTGCAACACCTCTACCTAAACAACAACGGTCTCGGTCCAGCAGCAGGAACCCTCGTCGCCGAAGCCCTCGCCCAACTAGCAGAAAACAAAGCCGCAGCACGAAAAGAAGGCAAAAATGTCCCCGACCTCGAAACAGTCGTATGTGGCCGAAATCGTCTCGAAACAGGCTCTATGCCCGCCTGGGTAAAAGCCTACACAGCCAACAACAAAGTCAAAACAGTCAAGATGGTGCAAAATGGAATCAGACAAGAAGGCATCGCGCAGCTCCTCCAGCACGGTTTGAGCCAGTGCGTTACATTGGATACTCTCGATCTCCAAGACAACACTTTCACCGCCCTCGCTGCAAAGACTCTCTCGACTGTTGTCCCAACCTGGACCGAAATCCGTGAGCTCGCCGTAGGAGATTGTCTCCTCTCCGCTCGAGGAGGTAGAATGCTAGGAGAAGCACTTGCCAAAGCCGGAAACAAGAAATTGGAAATTCTACGATTGCAATACAATGAAATCGACGCCAAGGGTCTGAAGGCAATTTCCGATGCTGCAACGACAGATTCAGCGTTGCCCCGTTTGAGAAGAGTTGAATTGAACGGAAATAAATTCGCCGAGGAAGATGCTTCGATTGAGGCTTTGAGGAACGTGTTGGAGAAGCGGAAAGAGGATTCTGCGGAAGAGTATCCTGGTGTGGATGAGGATGATGAGGATGCTTGGGGAGTGGACGAGTTGGATGAGTTGGAGGACGAGGACTCGGATGAAGAGGAAGATGATGATGAGGTAGAGGCGGAAGAGGAGAAGGTTGTCAAGGAGGCGGATGCTGCGGAGGCTCAGCCTGTGGCGCAGAAGAAGGATGCCGATGTGGACGATCTTGCGAATGCTCTCGGTAAGACTGAGATCAAGTGAGAAGATCCTGTTCACCGAAAGAAGAAGTCTCATGGCGGTAGCATGAAGATGCTGGAAAGCGACACGATTGGAGGAACATCAATACGCATTGCATGAATGGCGGCATGACTGGAATAGCACGGAAAATGGACGAGAAGAAGAAATAGGAGCCAAGAAGGAAGGAAGGCACCTTGTTTAGCACAATACCCCCAATAAATCGAAACGTCCCCTTTACACGATTCTACTCCCTCACTTCTGTCATCTTATCGCCCAAACCTAAACTCAGCCTTGGCATATCGATACAACGCTCGCAGGAAAATCTGGTACCCTACACCTGCAACATTGTCTTGAGCATAAAAGATTTCTGTGAGACGTATTTGCCAAGGTGGATATCCTTCCAAAACGACCCTTTCGCCAAAAACGATCAGAAGATCTGGCTCGCCCATGACGCTTTCTGTGATCTCGGCGTCGATCAAATCTTGACTGATGTCTGCGGGTGATAGCTTGCCGTTTTGTGACATTTCGGCGAGTGTTTTGGTGAGGTCTACTATTGTTTGTCGGCCATCTGTGGAGTCCAAGAGCAGGACGTTGATGTGAGGTGCTGACGTGTCGGAATGATTGTGGTTCGTGCCGTTGGGAAGGTCTGCGAATTGAGGCGGGCTGTATGAGGGAAGGTTCGGAGAACGGAGGGAAATGGAGGGCTTCTGAGGAGAGGTTGCTCCGTAGTAGGATGTGAGAGTTCGGTTGATGCGGCGGTGGAGGTGTGGGAGCGAGGATTTGAGGATGCCTGAGATAATGTTAGCTGGTTGTTCGACATGGCCGATGGACGAGAATGTCTCACCTGTCTGCTCATACATGGAGAGCATAGGAATTCCTGCGCTTGCACTCCATGCCACAAGCTCGCAGGCATCATTCAAAAGTGTCTCCAACGCATCTTTCTTCCCACCCTCAGGCGGCAGATCCAAAATGACACTCAAGTGCTTGGGCACTCTATCCAGCGGCTTGACATCCCTCCTGATCAGCTCGGGCGTGCGGTGGTGGTAGTAAAGCACGGCGCAGATGCGGTCATACAACGCGTGGTAGATCTGTCGAGTCCGGACGTAAATGCTGAAGATGGCATGCACGACATTGAACAGGAAGAGATGCACGAGTTGACGCATTGCCGGACGCACGCGTTGTCGGTGGTGGAATCGCGGGCCATCGTTATGTGAGGTCTTCCGCGGGGATGAGGGCGACTCGCGTGGCAGGTACGGCTCGATCAATCTTTCTCGCTCCGTCGGCGACAATGCTGCACCTGTCGTGTGCAGCGCGTGGGTCTGGCGTAACCCGGGCATTTTTCAATCTTCTTCTCTGCTGCTCTCTCTATTCTTCCAATGCTTTCAAGGGACAACTGTACAATATAAAGCGACCCGGTATGAACAGACTATGGGTCGCAGCGTGAAGAACAAAGGGGAGGAAGGCAAGGCATTCGTAAGTGCTGATGGAGTTGGAGCAGCTCTCCAAGAAAATGGCGTCGTTTACAACTCAGCCACCCGCCAGCAGCCACAACACGTTTCGTCAGCCTGCAGATCTTCCGCGGACCTGCGCCAAGGGACCCATGTTCTCAGCCTCTCACATGCACAGGGCTTGGAGCTGTGTTTTGCGCGTCATGTCATGTTTCCTCTGGTGCGGAATCGCTTTTCAGCATGATATTCGTGCTACAGTATTGAGTAGTGTACAGCCCTTTCCCAAGATCTATACATATGGCCCGACCCTACCGGCCTGGCTCATTAGCTCTCGTGACTGGCGCAGGTAGAGCTGATTTCTCGACACGCTGGCTGCAGCTGATGTCCAGATCAAAATGGTACAAATTTCGCCGTGAAAACCAGACGACATCCAAACTTCGTTTACAACACCTCGCCGATGATTTTGCTCGCTTCCTTGTACGTAGCAAGCAGCTTCTCGCACTTCTCCCGCTCCTCGCGAACCCCGTCATCTTCGTAGAGGAGCTCCTCGAACAGTGATTCTCGGTAGAGTTCCGATACTAGACGATTCTGGACTCCATCTTTGGAGAAGTTCACGAGCAAGTGCATAACGGCTTTGGGCACTTGGTCGGCAATGGTCTCGCGCACGATGTTGAAGTAGTTGCTGATCAGCCTTCGGATGAGCTCCGTCTCCAGTGATTCGCGTTCTGTTAACGCTGGTCCTGTGGGGTCATCCTGTGATGAGAAATTAGTATTTGGACCAACTGCATGCTCGACCATTGTGCTGCTTACCAAAGCATTCTCTTCGTGGTCTGGTTCCTCTGCGACAGGCTCTGGTGGAGGGATAGCTCTGGTGTCGCCTCTTCGGAAGCTCGCACTGATGCTCGGCTCAGCGTTCTGGCTCACATGCCTGTTACCAGGCAGACTGGCGGCATGAGGTCCAGGCAGAGCGCCTTGGCTAGGCCCATTCTCCTTTCCGAAGAAGTAGTTCAAGAACGAGTCTTTCCCAGCGCCGTTTGCCGCACTGGTTGTGTGTCCATGTCGGTGTCCGTCTCTCCCGACCGCTGGGCTCATGCTTCGCGTCTCTTTTGTCTTCGCGCCCGCGCGTAGAGGGAGAACACGGCTCTGCTCCTCTTCCTCCTCTTCTGGTGCTTCCGCCCCATTGACGCCGTTCTGTGCCAGCTCTTTCCGCCTTCGCTCGTCCCGCTTCCTCTTCTCTTCCGCCGCAGCCGCTTTCTTCTCCTTCTCATGCTTGTCTTGCATCACGCCACTCATTGCTGCTGCCGCACCAAGGAAGTTCGGATGATTGGTATTGATATAAGCCCGTTGTATGGCGATCAAACTTTCCACGTACGAAGAAGTAGGACCAAGACGTTCGCGCAGCAAATCCGAGACGACTTCAATGAGTTTCGCCTGCATCCGAGGATACCGTGCAAGTTCATTTGAATAGCAGGTGTGGCAAATCTTGATCAGCTCTTCGTACACCAGCTCCACGCATCTTTGACTGGGAATCTCGAGAAGCTTGATTTGTGGTTTTACCAGGAGATCGAATGCGAGTTCGGGAACGAATAACGAAGGACGAGGACCGGTAGAGTTACGGATCGCAGTTCGGATATCGAGGGCAGTAAGGTTCATGGTAGGGTCGATGGAGTCGAGGCTGTTTCCAAAGACAGAGTTGAAGATGTAGTATATGCGGGCTCCACCGCAGAGCTCTTTCGTGCTGATTTCTGAAGAAGTACCGTCGATCGATGAGGTGAATGAAGTCGCGAAGCGGGTCATGAGCTGGAGGATCAGTGAGCCACGGTGCTCCTTGCCAGTGAAAGTATCGGTGCCGTATGAAGACAGCTCTTGTTGCGTCTGGCCCATCAGAGTATTCAGTCGGGCCTTGATATCTGGAAGTCGCTCGCGAATGTGGCCCATGAGCGTAGTGTTCAACGTCTTCGCCAGATACTGCGTGCCGCATCTTGATGCAATGTTGCGATATGCTGGGTGCATACGGAAGAACTCCCGCTCAGCCTGGAGCGCATCTGACATAGACTTGTTCCCTTGGATATCCTGTTGCGAGCGGTTGACAACTCCGATAAAGCCGAGCTTCAGAGGATAGACTCTACCGGAAAGGATATCCAACGCATTTGTGCCATGATCCATCAAATCCAGCTTTGTGAGAATACCGATCGTTCTTTTGCCGGTCGGATCAACTTGTCGCGCAAGCTTGAGCGATTCTGAGTTGACCAAGTCGACATTCGCAGGCGATACCGCCAAGATGATGCTGTTTGGTTTCGCGATGTATTCCGATATCAGTGTCCGGGTCTGCTTCTCAATGTCTGTAGGCTGATCGCCAATGGGCACTTTTGTAAGACCTGGCAAGTCTACGAGCGTCAGGCTCAACACATGTGGCGAGTAGACTTTGAGGTTGATGGGTTGTCGGTTGATGCCCTTGTTGCTGCCCGCTATTCTGTTCGTCTCTGCCTCAATCTCCCTCTTGATATCCTGGAAGTCGTAGAACTTGCGGCCAGGCATATGATTGAACTCGCCCCATTCATCCTGACCAGCCACTGCCTCCGGAGTGTGCGGGATGTGCACAGCATGGTCGTCGGGCTTGTCGCTTCGCTCGGAGGGGAGATTGATGAGTTGGAGGATGAGCGGTCGTCGTGTTACGATGCCACTGCCTCGAGGCAGAAAGTCTCTTCCGACGATATTCTCCAAGACAGATGATTTACCAGATGATTGCGAGCCTACCACAACCTATGCGCGTGTCAGTCGAGCCGTGGCGATGCGGTGCGATCCCCAGCAGCGGCAGTAAACAGACGTACAATTTGCGGCAAGTCGAGCGAATCGTTGCCGATGGTGTTGAAGACCAAGTCCTGCAGCTTGTTGACCACGCCCAGCAGATCCTCACCGAGTGCTGCCATGTTGGGCGGTGTTGGACTGCAAAAGGTGCGGTGCCCTGAATGTTTGTTTGGTGGGCGCGATGGCGATGGACGTTTCCCAGAAGCGGAGCCCGTCAAAAGCTTGCGCAAGGACTCCTGCGCCTGCAAGCCAGGTCCTTGTGCGAGTCTGTCTCTCCCGTCGCCCTCCCGATTCACTTGTGACACACGTGCGCGCACTCACGAGGTCGCGGACAGAGCAGTGTACGATGGAAGCAATTGCCGATGAGGCGTGTACATGCTACGCGCTGCCAACTCTGGAGCGTCGTGACCAACGAGTCCGCTGCGCCAAAGCTTATGGCCCTTTCTCTCCAACTACGTCAGGCGTCCGTGTTGAGTGTCTTACACCAGCATACGTGAGCGAGGAAATACACTCTCCAGCACGTGAAGTCCAGGACTGCGAGTCGAATTCTAACTGCTGCGATCGAACACATCACAAGAGACATCTAACATGGCCCTAAGTGAACAACACTGTTACCAAAAGCACTCGTCGACCGTATCCCCGCAGCACTCTGGTTCACGCTACAGAGCATCGCTGGATTTAGTTAGTAACCAGTTCTCAACAAGGCGTGCATAGTGGATTAGCTGCTGCATTCACTGTCTATGTGTCACTTCAACGTGGATCAACATGACGTATAGAAGACTGCTACTGCTCAGACGAGCATATAAGGTGTGCTTCTACGTGCTTGTTATGAACATCTGAATAGGTTTGAGCCCAGCACTTCGCAATCTCTGAGATCAGAAAGTTACTCAATTTCAGCTTGAACATGGCCACGAATCCTTTCTCTCCTCATGGATCCAAAGGACCTATCGTAAGTGATTGATCACGAGCTATGCCCAGACCTCTATGTCTTACTAGTCTTCTTAGAGGTCCAACGCAGCACTGCTAGCAATCCTCGGAGTGGGCGGTGGTCTGATGTTCTGGCTGCGCTCTTCTCGCGCAGAGAGGGCGAATTATGTTAGTCAAGCAGGTCTACAACACGCTACCGACACAAAACGGAATGGGGGATTATGAGGCAACTGCGCTCTGGCTTGAAGGATTCGATCGAAGTCCAACTACAATTGGCGAAGCCTGCACATCATAACAGTAACGACAAACGGGTCCTTCCTCGTGTTTATTGAATAGCTCATCAATAAAGTTGTACCAATGTTGTCAGAAGCACGTCAAGCTGAATGTGAGCTAAGGTGCGAGCGGCGGGGGGAGCTCCTGCTTCAAGCAGGTATGAGAGCACACGAGCACTTGCCTGCTTGCACTACAACACAACACCAACAGCATATTCGTGTCATTCACGCATTGAATTGCGACGCACAAGCCCACCATGAGATTGATACCACTGCTCATTGCCTTCGGGCTCAGTCTCGCAGCACTGTACCCTCAAAACGAGCAACAAATAACGTTGCTTGAAGGACCCGAATTCGACCTGATCAAGAAGTGTGCACTATGAGATAGACCCCTAGAGTAGGCACAGAACTAACGACGAACAGACTGAAAATCGCCGAAATCATCCCAACAGTCCTCGATGAATTCAAGCCATTCCTCACACTGAACGTATCCTGGCCAAAAGACGCAGCAGAAGTCGGCAACACCATCAAAGTCAAGAAAATGAAAAAGACGCCAAAGATTCAACTCCTCGGCCACTTGCCCAACTTGCGACGCCTCTCAGACGCAAGTGAAATCCCCCAGCTAACTCTCATCCTCACCGACCCAGACGCTCGCAGCAGAGATAATCCTGACTGGAGCCAAATGTGTCACTGGATTATCACCAATGTCACTCTCACAGACACGAGTGGGGAGGGTCTCGAGAATGGATTGGAGCACGCCGAGGAAATTGTTGAGTATCAGCCTCCTGGACCGCCGCCGAAGACGGGAAAGCATAGATATGTGTTTGCTGCTCTGGCGCCGAAGAATGGGACTTCGGCTAGGTTGCATTTGAGTAAGCCTAAGCAGAGACAGCATTGGGGATATGGGATTGTGAGGGCGGGAGTTCGAGAGTGGGCTGAGGAGAATGGTCTTGCGGTGGTGGGTGCGAATTTTGTGTATGCTCAAGATAAGAAACAGTAGGCAGAGCGTTGGGGCGCGGTGTGCGATTTCCAGAAGGCGTGCGTGCGAAGGCGTGCAGAGTGCTAGCAAGCTTCTTGAGTCGCCGATGGTAATTGCGAGTGTTAAATGTACCAGTAGAACACATATTTTCGAGTGTTAGTGCGACAATCCACCTTCAGTGTCGAGCTTGTTTACACTGCCGAGGAGGCAATAGCGTGAGTGTGACTGGGTTCTCCGATGCTGCTTTAGCGAGCGTGGCCAGGATGTTACAGTCGCGCTCCCATACAACATGCACATACACAGAGGCGCAGATTCTTGATCGGGATCGCGACATCCTCATTCAGATGTGCAGCAACATGAGCAGAAGAGATGCAATTGACCTGGGAAATCGCATGGCATAACCCGCTTTACATGGGAAATCGTGAATACCTCTTGAAATGTTGTGTCTTCCACAGCTCAAATATCTTGTCCTTGATCGTGGTACTCAATTTGCGTGCCTAGCCTCTTTGTACAATGCTCCGACCCTTTCCTGATGCTCAAATACACAATTTCTAGTGGTCTGCCTGCTTGCCAGTTCTCGTCAAACGGAGGGTCTTATCGGTCATGAGCTTGCGACCCAAGCTGTATCCAGCGGCAATGATGGCAGCGGCGAGGACAACGCCCAGAGGAATCAACTCCGGTGGGATCTTCTTGAGAGTGCGGAGACGCTGCGAGATGGTGTGTGCTGAAATGGGGGTTAGAGATTATTGCTTGAGGACTGTTGTGTTCAGGCTGCCATACCGGCTTGCTCCTCCTTCTGTCTGGCTGTTAGCACAAGCGTACTGCTCTTTTCTACCAGGTCTCTCATACCGGTCCTGCCATTCTCTTGGGAGTGGTCCTGAAGCCGCGGGCCAACTGCTGCTGGTTCATGCGGAGCGTCGGGGTGGCGCGGGCCTGGCGCAGCATGTTCGCTGCGAGAAATCGGGTAGACTGCATGGTTCTGGCTAGTCGAGGGTGGTGGAGTGGAGAGAGATCGCGGTGGACTTGCATCGAGGTAGTCAATGGGCAAGCTGCTGTTCACAGTTCTGGCATGGGAACGGACGGGAAAGCGCAGCTTGTGATTGGTCGCGCCTACCGGCCAGCTCCTCGCTGTACTTCCTCACTCGATGATGTCCTAGACACAGACACACAATTGCAGCGACGAAGCCCCCCTTCTACCACCCACCACACCACTCGAAACTACCGCCAAAATGTCTGACGATGAGGAGCGCGTAACCATGCCATTCAAGTTCGTGACTGGTAGGTTTCAATGGCCCCAGCGACCGCGACAGAGCTCTGCGCTAACATGATCACAGCCGGTACGTCGAGCCCTCCTCGCCACCACGAGCGCATCCTGCGCCTCTGGGCCCTCTCGCTGGACGGCCACATACTATACTGGAGTTCTCACTGACATCTCCAGGCTTCGATGCCCGCTTTCCGAACCAGAACCAGACCAAGCACTGCTGGCAAAACTATGTCGACTACAACAAGTGCATTCTCGCAAAGGGCGAGGACTTCAAGCCTTGCCGCCAGGTGCGCACAATAGGAAGCTATGAAGAGGCTGCGAAGACGGAATACTTACACAGAGACAGTTCTACTTGGCCTACCGATCGCTTTGCCCAGCATCTTGGACTGAGAGGTGGGATGATCAGCGAGAGAACGGAACGTTCCCGACGAGATTGGACCAATAGATGCGGAAATGAGTTGAATACGGACAAGAAGGCACTGCTCACGGGGTTGATACATGGCGTTTCGTGCTTAAGCGCAGGCAAGATTCATGTACATATATCAAGCCGCTATGGAACGGAGAAGAATGTCTTGTATGAACACTCGACTGTGTCCTATGTTCGGACATGCGGCAGTCTTCTACCTTGTGTGTGCAGTATCAAGTCGTACTTGTCATTGGGGCACCAAAGTACCTCAGGGCGCGCATTCTCTCCGTCGCCGAAACGGTACATTAGGCGGAGATGCTGCATGCGCTCGGTGTTGCAGAGCGTGCAGGTGAGATTTGCGAAGACCCGGAGTTGGAGCGTACCTGCCGGTTGCCGTTCAACTTCATCTGACAGCACTTCACTTCACGGTTCGAGATTCGACCTTTGCGCACACACACACTACACTGCAACTTCGATGGTGCGCCACATGCGGTGGCAAGTATATCGCTCCCTACGCTGAAAGATTCACCTCACAGATTGATCACAAGCACGTTTCCGACCCTGATGCTCACTCAATGGACTTGAAACTTAACACCAAGTGATGTCCGCATACAGAAGAACGATGTACGGGTCAGGATAGTCATCAGTGCTCAGTACTCCACTCAAATATTGCCGACATGATTGCAGACTTCGTTAAGCTGATTCTGAGCACGAAAAGTGACACTATCCTCAGTTCTGGAAAAAATATTTCTCCAAGTGAAGCCAGCATTAATCACGATCACGGCAACAAAGACGTGACCAGGTATTGCAAGCATCTCCTCTGAAAGCTCCTAACTGTTCATGCTAGCTTGGCCACCTTGATGGCCGCTCTGACACATCTCTGGTTCGAAATGTTCTTATCGCTTCTCTCCTCGCCCGAACCGAACTCAACAGCGACTTCACCTCCGCACTTCGTGCTCTCCTCCCCTCCAGCGCGATCTCAGCAGCGATCTTATCGGCAGATATGCTGTCCTTCTTTACAAGTCCTGCTTCCTTTCCTCTCCGTTCTTGGCAACAGTCAATGGTCCATTCATCACCATCAGACTCATTACCTCGTACAGAGTGTCAGCCGCGGCCATAGTTGTATGTTCAGCGTTCGTATCGTATGCAGGAGCAACCTCGACGATATCTGCTGCTACGAGGTTGATGCCCTTCAGGCCCCGCATAATGGTTCGGAGTTCTCTGGTCGACCTATCCAATTACTCAGTCAGCAACGCGTGGAACAGCAAGGAACGCTCGCGATCATGATAGAAAGGAAACTCTGAGTGGAATTGGTCTTACCAGCCTCCCGTCTCTGGGGTTCCTGTTGCCGGAGCGAACGCCGGATCCAAGGTATCGATATCGATACTCAAGTACACTGGATTTTTGTGTCCAACACGTTCATGGATCTTCTTGATGATGCCTTCAGTACCAATGGTATCGATCTCACGGGCCTCAACGATCTGGAAGCCGCAATATCCATCGTTGTCGTAGTCGGACAGGCCACTCAATGTGGTACGAATTCCAGCATGGATATTCGTATCATTTCTGAGCAGTCCCTCTTGAGCAGCGTGGAAGAAGTATGTGCCGTGGTTGATGCTGGCAGACTTGGATGGCGCACCGCCGAAAACCTTTGGCCTCCAGGTATCAAGATGAGAGTCAAAGTGGATGACCGTGATCGGGCCATAGGCACGGTTCATGCTTCTCAGCAGTGGAAGCGTGATAGTATGGTCACCGCCCAAGGTGATCACACGAGGCAAAGTCTTTCCATGCTTGGAGATACCCTTCTCTTTCGCATCGGTAGCGGGCTCACGCATGAGAATGCTATTGTGGCCTTCCTCAATCTGGTGCAAGGCCCAAACATTATCATATCTGCTCCCAATCAGCACACACACTCTCAATCACAATCAGGAACTATCCGGACTCACGAAGTCACCGGAATGTCACCACAATCAATAACCTTAGCCCAGCTATCGAAAGGATTCGTATCGAGAGGGACGTTGTATCCGCCGCTAAAGCGCACTTTACGTGAGCCTTTGGATCGTGGAATCTGGTGTAAACTTCATCGTCTTTCTTACGTACTAGAGGTTCAGTCTCCGACTACCTTGTCGAATGCCCGAAGGACCGAATCTTGCTCCTGGTCTGTACGAGGTGCCGGTATCGAAAGGTGCACCGATGAATGCAATGTCGTATTTGACATCGTCGGTCGACAGGCAAGGGCTGTATGGAAGACGTCCGAAAGTCGAAATGCCAGAGAAGACGGAATCGGCCTGATTGATCAGCTGAAGCTCAGGCGGCTTTCATGAGACTACTCACTTGGGTGCCTCCGTCACCTGGAAGCGTGTTGTACCACAGGCTCTTATGAGGTCCCTCTAGAGGCTCCTGGTCATGGTCGCCGTGAGCCTGAACGGCCACGGCGGTTGCAGCAATTGCTCCCAAAAATCTCAACATCTTTCAACAGCAACAAGTGAAGCTTGATACAACACAAATGAGCAGGGCTCTCACGCACAGAAGTACTTCAAAAATCCAGCCTGACGGCGTGTTTACGATCGTATCTTTACCTAACTGTTACAAACAGCCAGAAGAGCTCAACACAGCTCACCTCAAGCTCCACGGCCAATGCCATCGTGTCGTCAGCATACGCCGGCTCTGCATAGGATATTCCTTGTTCCTGGAGATAGGCGACGCTACGGGCTCCCGGATCGATGCATCGACAGCTGGGGTGCAGTTGCTCTTACGTTGCACACATACCGGCCGGCCAACGTGCATACGATGCAGAACTTTTAGTCAAATGGCCAAGCGACACAGCTCCATTCGCATGAAGAAGCTTCTGATATGACGGAGAGGCATTGGAGATAAGAAGGTGGGGAGCTCAGCTTCGAGACTTGGCTTGCAGCAATCTGGAGGCAATCGCAGCAACTGCTGATAGATCGTACATGCTTTCCTCTTTGGGAAATCCACCGGCTTCGCATTGTGGCTATCTGTGAAACATTGCATTGTCTATCGCAGGACGCGTCATCAGACTTCTCCCTGCTGTGCCTGCTCTGCGAGGTCCCCAGGGTCCATACGCTTGAAGGCGTTCTCAACTTGTTTGTTCCAATTGCTGAGAGCCACGACTAGCCACTCTATGAGTCCGACCAAGTACAATGCGATACACTGGCCGATCCATAGCCCTGATAGACCCCAGCCATGAAACGCGAGGTAGATTCCGAGAGGGAGCGCGCCGCAATAGTAGGCTCCCAGGTTGATGAAAGCTCCGATGTGCTGTCTGCCCATGCCACGAAGAGCACCACCGCAAGATCCGTTCAGGCCGTCTGCAATCTGAAAGAGTGCTACATAGGGTAGGACCTCAGCAGTGAGCTTTACAACCTGAGCATCGTCATTGAACAGCCGGGCAAAGTTGTCCTTGGTACCCATTAGTATCGCAAGCACAATCGCTCCGAGGATCATGGATAGAACTGCTGCAGTGTTGGCCGACAGAGCAGCACCTCGCGCATTCCTTGACCCCAATAAATTGCCAATCCGGCTAGACGTTGCTACTCCAATGCCGAACGGTATCGTGTTCATGACTTGATCCGCAGTCATGATGACGGATTGCGCAGCCAACGGTATTGTCCCAAGTTGTCCGGCAACAATCGCCACAATCTCAAAGGCCCACCACTCCGTTCCGACGTGTACAATGCCGAGCGCTGCGAGTCGAGCAAATGGACCAATGTTCTTTATGCACTTCCGATCGAATCCACCCCAGCATTCGGAGCCAGCTACGAACCGAGTGTAGAGCACCAGGAGTATGAAAGAAAGCCAGTAACATATACCAGTTGCGATAGGGGCGCCAAAGAGGCCGAGCTTGAAAGTGTAGATGAACAAATAGTTCAGACCGGCACTGATCGGTGATGTGATGAGCAGAACGTAGGTTCCGGGTCGCATTATTTCTTGCGACTGTAGATACTTCTTCATGCATTCGAAGTAGATATATCCAAGGCCACCGGGAATCAGAATGCTCAAGAATTTAGCAGAGTCGCGCGCAATGTAGTCTTCTTGGCCGAGTAACTTGAACACTGGCTCCGACCACAGCCATAGTACTGCGACAGGGACGTAGAACATTCCCAGAACCAGAAAGGCACGCTGTAAGATTATGCCAAGGTCATGCTTGTTCTTGCTTCCTGTGAAAGATGCAGAGGCAAGAGTGTCGATCGCGGTCGTGCCTCCCATGCCGATTAGCCAAGCGGTGGCCATTGCAAACATGTAGCTGAAAGCTGCAACAGCAAGCGCTTCTGGACTTAATCTTCCCACTATCAGAACCGAGACTGTCTGTAAGGAGTTTTGCAATGTGTACGCCAGAATAACAGGTATTGATCCTCTCAGAAGTATCCAGAATTCGGAGAGGACGCGCTGTGTCCGGGACTTGCTTTCGTCCTCAAAATTTTCATCTCTGGACGATTCTTCATCGTTGACCGGCTTTGGCAGTAATGAAGTTCTCTCATTTGGAAGTCCATCTGTGTCAGTGGTATTTCGATCGCTTGAGAATAAATTCGACAGCCATGAGCGTGTACGCTGCTTCTGATCGTCGTCCTGCATGGCGAAATATGTAGGCCCGTTTGCAAAAGGCTCAGACTTCGACGTGGGCAGCCAGCAGCATGTATTTAGCCATGCGTGCGAGCCCACAGGTGGAAAGCTCCAACTTTGATGGATCTCCTAGCAATGCAAAATCTAGTCAGGACCTCAGATCCACATTCGTTAGGACCTATCTCCACTCATCGGCCACTATAGGCAGCTTGCTACGACACAATCTGTCCCGCAAGAGCTGACGTGCGATGTGCCGACAGCTGGATGCCTGTGGACGTTTAGTCACGCCTTCAGGCTCTGCAAAAGCAGCAGCAGAGGGCCAGCCGCATACGTTCACCAGATCCAATGCCCAAGAAGAGCAGCTGTGAGAGCTCGGATCAGCCTCGTCTTCGCGTGAAGGCTTATCGCAGCCGGCGGGCATTGTGGTTTGGTAATTGCATCAGCCCCGGGTGCGATCCGCGCTGCATCGGCCAGCTTGCATCCTGCAGTCAGCAGCCATTGAGATGTGCGGACTCACGTCGTACGTGGTGCTCTCGAATTTGGCGGCGGCGATATGGTGCCGGAGCGGGCGAGTCTGCTGGCCACGGCTCGACCGAAGAGAGACGAAGGATGTGGCTTGGAATGCCAAGCATTTGAAGTTTGGATTGTGCACTCGTCCTCGGCCTCTGCAATCCACCGACTTGCCCTGCCTGCCTGCATCAACCACCATCATACATTTCGCCAAGTCGCAAAGCTGAAGCGAGGCCGTCTTACTTACAAGCTCTATATTATGCTTCTTGAAAGCTGCACTGCGGCTGGAAAACCAGCGCATGGCACGGCAAGCCACAAGTACCATGAATGTTGCTGCAGGCCTCGTTACCCGGGAAATAGTTACACGACTTCCAGCCAATGTACCGCAAGATCTTGCACGATGCCAAACGACCAGATATTCGCGGCTCATGCTGTGTAACACGTGCGGTCCCTACCCTTGTCTGGAGATGTTTTTGCCAAGCGTGACTTTGTGGAAGGATCTCTAAGGTTCAGTAGGTGCTTAAGGGCAAGCTGATCTGCCAATGCAAAGGAGTCTTCTGCACAAATCTGCGAGTTGTTCGTGCTGAAGTTAGGCGCCAAGTTCATGCATGAAAGGAGTACAAGACTGCCCTCGGCCATCAGCACCGTGTTGTAATTGTTCTGTGGTCGGCCTTGCCCTGTCACAAATTCCAGCAGAATGAAGCCCAATATATCGACAATTTCTATCAATAAACGAGCTGAACACACAGTTCCGGCGCACACTTCCGTCGAAAAATCACTCGCAACCAGCTCCGTCCAACCTGGAACAAATGTTAATGCTTCCGGCCATCCAGATCAGCTCAAGAGACAGTATCGCACGTGGGAAGTGTGTGGTCTAGCGTTGACCATTAACAACGCTTGGATTGCGTTCGCTGGTTCGCTGCAGATTTCGCTGCTCAATGGAGGTCCGCCAGGTATATTGTACGAATATATCGTTGCTTGTGTATACTACACCTTCATTGGACTCTCTATTTCGGAGTTGGCGTCTTCGATTCCGTCCTCAGGAGGTGTTTATCACTGGGCTTCGGTCACTGCAGGCCCTCGGTATGGACGAGTGCTGGGTGAGAGCATCAATTTGCTAGACCATGCCATCGCTGACCCTTGTTAGGCTTCTTTACTGGGGTAAAATGATTGCAAGTTTCGACAGCGATTGAGAACTAAGCCCTTTGCAGAGTCTAAACTTCTTCGGCTGGATCTTCGCATTGGTATCCATCGCTACGATTCCGGCCAATGTCATTGTGCAGATGTAAGCCGTTGTCACTACGCTGTATAGGGCCCTTTGCTGACTAGTGGTTCTCACCATAGGTACGCATTGTTCCACACAGATCTGGTAATCGAGGCATGGCACTCATATGTGGCTTTCGTCTGCATTATATGGCTCGTGACCGCATTTGTGATCTTTTGCAACAAGACGATTCCATATCTCCAACACGTGGGGCTCTTCCTGATCGTTGTCGGAGGCCTAGTCACTGTCATAGTCGTTACAACCATGCCAAGAGAGTACGCAACCAACTCGTTCGTCTGGGCCGATTTCAACAATCTCACTGGCTGGAGCAACGGCGTGGCATTTCTCACCGGTGTTCTCAATGGCGCCTTCGCCATAGGTGAGCGTCCCTAACATGTAGCGGTGGCGATATTTCTGCTAATATTTCGAGTGCAGGGACGCCGGATAGCGTTACGCATATGGCCGAGGAGTTGCCAAATCCGAGAGTCGACCTACCAAAGGCCATAATGATTCAAGTCGGGTTAGGGTTCGTCACAGCCTTTGTCTTTGGAGTTGCTGTGTTTTACGGTACGTTGGCATAAAAATTCGTGGCCAGCTGGAGCTAATCATTCGACAGGGGTATACGATTTGGATGCCATTATCACTAGCAGTGGATCGTTTCCACTAAGTGAGATATATGCACAAGCGACTGGTAGCAGGGCAGCGACCTTTGGGCTGCTCCTGATCGTTCTGCTATCCATCATGATCTGCATCATCGGCACAGTCACCATGGTCGGCCGTCTCTGGTGGACTTTGGGTGAGTTATGCTCGAACCTGCTGCATGAGCCTTAAATTGAGAGTGTGTTCACAGCACGAGACAACGCTACCCCCTGCGCCCAGTTCTTCGCCAAGGTCGACGAATCTCTGTCGTGTCCAGTGCCTGCCACGGTATTCTGTGCTCTCTTGACGACAGGTCTGGGCGCCATTCAACTCGGAAGCAAGGTGGCGTTCACGGTACTGGTCTCCTCGTTCATCACTCTAACCACGGCAAGCTACCTCCTCGCCATCCTACCAAACGTGTTGACCAGACGATCGAATATCCCCAAAGGGCCTTTCTGGATGCCTGGAGCTCTCGGATACATCGTCAATATCATTGCGTGTATATTGATCGTGTTCTTCAATGTTTGGTTCTGCTTTCCGTTTGCGTACCCGGTCACAGTTTCGCTCATGAATTGTAGGTGTACTTGCTGTTATCTGATACTGGCAACGCTAATTCGTTGGTAGATAACTCGGTCATTCTCGTCGGTATAATCACACTGACGGCTTTCTGGTGGTTCGTGCATGGAGTTCGCGACTATCCAGGCCCAAAAGTGTCGAAGATGTATCTAGAGACGTGAGCGTTCATAACAACAAGCAATCCTCGGAAACCACATCTTTCTCCGAAGGCCTGGACAAGTACCAGCCGACCAGCCGACCAGCTTGACTGAGTGCAAGATTGTGCCTCTAGAAAATCCTCTGAGGTAAAGCTAATGGCATCGCTTTCTCGAAATATGGAGGAAAGTCGCTGCTTTCAATTTAACCCCAACACGGAAGCATGCTCCAGAGACATTTCTAAGAAATGAGTACTCGCTACTGAAGATCTAGGCATCACAGTCTAGTTATGGACACTCACATGTGAACATGCAGGCCTCGATACTCACTTGCCATCTCTCTTCGCGACTTCGGTTTTTTGTCTGTCTTGCTTCGGTAGACATGATGCCTCAGAAACTCTGCACATGCCAGAGATACGAGTTCCAAGAAGCACTTCAATTCCTCAGACGCGGTAGCGTAATGCAATCAAAGTCTCATGCATAATCCGCGGTCGATACCAAAGTGCAGTCCGCCTCCAGCCAAGATCCTCCCTCGGAGTTCGGTACACTTTCGAATTCCGAAGTTACATCAATTCATAAAGTGGGTAGCCCAACATCTTCAAAAGCATGATTCAGTTCCATGGCTATGAATGATGAATCAGCGAACGCAGCAGCTTTGTCTTCGGGCGGTACGCCAACGACGCTCAAGCTAATGTTGGTGCCTGGCGCCGAACCCGCGCGTTGCGTGCTAAGGATTCCGAACGCCGTAGATAGTCTAACTAGACTAGAATGGGGAGGCGAAATCCTGCCAATTCCTCCTATCAACGTTCGCACGACATAGCAGCGTCACAGCCTCTGCTTTCGCTTCATCGTCCTAAGATATAAGGCGGTATGATGTCTTTGAAAGGCTTCCATATGAATCTCACCTTTACCGGCCTCACTTGAGCTTGACGATCTGGACCAGAAGACTACGTAGAAGAACTTGGGCTTTGCCGCGGCACTTGCTGGAAGAGCGTATCGCAAATCTGCAACACCTCCTTGCAGCGCAACATCGACATGGTGGCTCATTCAAAAGATGGCATTCGTGCCCGGATCATGGAAACCGCTCGCGGCGACGATATTATTGAGCACTCAGAGACGTCGCCACTTCTGCGTTCAAACTCGACAGAAGGCCACAATCGCAAGCCCGTATCCAGGCATGCTCTTTTTCGAACTCCGAATGCAATTCTCCTCGTTATGCTCGCAGTCGTCGTTTTGACCTCATTCGGCGATCAACTTGGAGAAGTGCCGTTGAATCGCATATACGAATCGGTTATCTGTTACAAATACTATGAAACCAACGACCCGTCGAAGATAAAGCTCCCTCGCAGTGCTCTTGGACCCGGAGCGATAGGAGGTGTTGATGAGTTGTGGTGTAAGAAAGCCGATGAGGTCCAGAACGATCTGGCGATGCTGAATGGACTTTTACTGTTCCTCAATGGGATCCCCGGACTACTGCTCGCTGTGCCCTTTGGCTGGGCAGCTGATAGATATGGACGGTGGCCATTCATTATGTTGAACTTGTTCCAAATTGCTGCCAAGCTCGTTTGGTCGCAGTTTGTGGCGTGGCAGTGGCAAATCTTCGACGTTAGGGTCATGTGGGCGCAATCGCTGTTCTGTCTCTTGGGTGGGGGAAGTCCGGTCATCAGCGCCCTATTCTTCGTCGCGATTCAAGATGTCGTGCCTGAGAAGGATAGGGCGAGTGCGTTCCTGCGACTTGGGGCGGCGAATTTGAGTGCCAGCTTGTTGATGCCGCCGCTTGCTGCGCTGCTGATGCGGAAGAGCCCTTGGATTCCGTCGATTATGGGTACGGTGATGTTCATTCTCGCCATGTTGCTCTACCTGCTCGTTCCGGAAACGCTTCACTATGGGAAGGAAGAGGCCGATTCGACCCAGGCCGAGCCGGATCTGGCTGGAAGCACTCCAGGACCGCCCGACTTGGCACCAACAAACCCACCAATCTCAGCAAACGTGATCGTTGTTTACTCCGACAAGTTCAAGGCGACGATGGCATTTCTAACGCGGGACTATCGCGTTCCATTGTTGATTCTACCTTTCGTGGCCCACATCCTGATCGCCGAAATTGCCTCCCTTCTCCTGCAATACGTCAGCAAACGCTACAGCATGACGTTCTCGGCAGCAACAATTCTCATCACTATCCGGAATGGAGTCACAGTGCTGCTACTGGTGGTCATTCTGCCTTATCTCAGCACACTCGCAATGACGCGGTTTGGTCTCAGCAGCCAAAGAAAGGACTTGTATCTCGCGCGCATCTCGCAGATATTTGTGGCTGTAGGATGGCTCGCGCTGGCCGCAAGCCCAAATATTCCAGTCGCGGGAATCAGTCTTGCAATATCCAGTCTTGGACAAGGTGCGGCGTTGCTGATGCGAAGTTTCCTGAGCACCATTGTGCCTGCCAACGAGATAGCTAGAACCTACAGTGTCATCGCTATTGTTGACACTTTGGGCATTATGTTTGGTAGTCCTTTGCTTGCATTGTTGTTTGAAAAGGGGATCGGTCTTCCCTTCGTGGCGCTCGGGTTGTCCTCGGCATTGTTTGCGGTATTGCTGTTTATTGTGAAAGTAAGAAAGGGGGAGGACGAGATCATGAGCGACAGTTCATCGTAGCGCCCTTCGCAAGCAAGTCGCGAAGCGGTCTGGTATATTTATGACATAATTGAAGGTGTGGTTGCTCGCGTCGCTGCGTCTTGAAGCTGTTGCTTGCTTTCCATCTAACTGCAGCTCGAGTGCGAGTATTCAGATGCTCAGTTCATCAGGTAGTTCCGCCTCTTCGCTCTGCTTCCTATTCTTCTCCTCTTGTTTCAAGTGCCGGATCTTTTTCTGGAAGTTCTTTTCACGATTGTACACCTTGTCCACCTTAGCCTCCAGCTCCGCTCGCAATTCTCTTCTTGCTGCTCGAAGGACATCTTTTGCCTCTTGCTCAGACAGGTTTACCTTTTTCCTTCGCTCTTTCATATCGGCCTCCAGTATTTCCGCTCTCTTTTCAAACCAGTTGGAGAACATGTCCTTTTTGATTCGCTCTCTGGTTTGCTCTACCCATCTCTGCGGATCGGGCCTGGTGCGCATCCACCCATTCTCCGTAAGCATGACATGCTGTCTGGGTCCTACTCGGAATTTGATGGGAGGCAGATCCGGGTTGTGCTCCACTTGGAAGGTACCGTCCATAGCAACGACCTCTGTATCAGCCTCACCCTCCTCACTAGGCTCAGACAATGCTTCCTCTACCGCGGACGCCTGATCCAGATCTGCGGGCAAGCCAAGTTGTTCTCTCTCTGCTGCAAAGCGTGCCTTCACTTGAGGTGTCTGTAGAATAGCCCACCGAAGCCACCAGCCAGATACTCCTAATTGCTTAATCCTTGCCTCTTTCTCGCCGAGCAGATACTCATCGAGCCCTCCGAGCTTGTCGATGGTCCGCAGTACACGCGCGCTAACGTGCACTTGTACATGTCGATTCAGAGCCTTGCTGAATAGCTTTCGTGTGAAGACATTGGGTTTCCACGTGCGTCGCGTCTTGACCTCGAAGTCGCCGCTGACATTGTTGCCGAATTGCTTCCGTTGTCCGCCGTATAGACCTCGATTGCTCTGTTTATACCATCGTGCTGGTCCGTAGGGGTATGGAGGTAGCACATCCGCGAGCGCTTCGGAATCGTTTTTGTCCCACTGCAGGCTGACTGCGCGAGGTACAGATGTCGAGAATGACCTTTGGCAATGACAAATGCTCCGCGACGAGCGGAAAAGTGCGGCCATTGTGATGGTAATGCGAAGGAAGGTGGTCGTGATGGTCGCTGGTCCAATGCATGCGGCCAACACGGAGGTGAGCATGTCTTGGCGACGGCGTATCGACCATCGAGCCAGCACATCTGCTGGCTCGTCTCTTGAGCATACACCGGCAACATGGTCTCCCTACCGCAACGGATGCGAAAGCTACAGAATCGTCTGCTTGCTATACGACTGGGACCCGGCGCCCTTGTACTACCGAAAGATGTGAAACGGATAAATCTACGCTTCGCTCCCAGAATCAATGAGGGACACATGGGTCCGAGGTATGTCTTCAACTTCCCTCTTACCGTGATGGCGTATCTGACATGTCGTGCAGGAAGTTCTGGCGACACGAACTCGTTCGACTAAAATACCACAATCCATCGATACCTATGACAGTGGATCGAACAGCGCAACAGGATGAACCAGCAGTGCTATCAATACATATGCAGCCTGAAGGGGCTGACGCGGAAAAGGTCGAGACTGTCAACATGAAGAACTATCGGTCATCAGAAATACTGGATGCGCTTATCCGATTGACGAATGCGCGGCAGGTCGAGCCTACTGAGGAAGATCAGGAGCAGTTGGCCAAATTGGAGGAGCAGAGGCAGAAGAGCTTGAGGGATAGTAAATTGAGCCAGGAAGTGCGAGCGAGGGTGAGGAGAGAGAGGGAACTTTTGGAGCAGGCAAGAGGCGATATTGCTGCACAGAATGCTTAAAAGACGATGGTTGATTGCACTTCGGCGAGGGAACAATTCACTTACAGCGAGGCGTTGGCAGGGGCGTGGGATATCACCATGAGACGCATGGAGTAATGTACTTCGTGTACAATTACGGGACTATGAAGTGAAGGCGAACGCGACGGCCGACGCTATGCTTCTGCGCCTAAGCCCTTCCACCACGCCATGCAACCCAACACGAAGACGATAACCATGACGTCCGTGAAAATGGTCCGGGCGATGGTGATGTACCTCCCAGCGACACGAATGTAATTCGCATACGGCTCAGGGATGATTCCGCTGTTCACAATGGAAGCGAACATGCCGCCGCCCTGAAGCTGGCCCCTCTCCACGAAATACCTTGTGCTCTGCAGTACCAGTTCTGCAGAGGTGAAAATGACGAACAAACGAGGACCGAGACCATAGCCATCATCTTCTGTGTAGACATTCGAGCTCCGCGCAAGCTTAGTGCCGTTGAAGGTGGACGTTAGACAGATGTAGAATGCCAGGCCAAATGCGAAGACAGCGTGCACGATGCGCCACATGTAGGCTGATCCTGGGGTTGGGGCTGCTTCCTGTGGTTGTCCTCCGCCCATCATGGCTTTGAGCATTGGCGGGAGGTCCTGTGGTGCATTGGGGTCGTTCGGGTCGCCTCCCATGCCTCCCATGAACTGTTGCATCATCCTCATCATGGGATCCTCCCCGCCCGCGGCTCCTCCTTGGCCCTGCTGTTGTTGTTGTTGTATCTCAAGCATCGCTGCAGCCAGAGGATCTTGCTTTGGGTTCGGCGTACGGCTCGGTGTCGGCGCGAAACTGCCAGGTTGGCTGATGTCGACTTCCTCTGGATCGTCGTCCACGCTCGCGATTTTGGGTGCTTGGGCCGCTGCCTGGATGTTAGCAATCTTGCGCGAAGTAATCGTTGTCCATTACCCAATCTACTCACGCCCTCCGAGCACTTCGTCTGGCGGCGCAACACCTCCGTTCAAGGCTTTAATTTTTGCCAGTCGGTCTTCGCCTTGCTCGGCCATCTTTTTTTGGCGCTTCTCTCGACGCAGGCGTGCCTGCCTCTGATTCGGCGTCTCGCCCTCGGGACCGTCCATGCCGGTGTCGACAGCAGTATCTGCCATGTTGTGCCGGTGTTGTTCTTGTGTGACAGTGGTTCAAGTGAGTGTGAGTGTCGGCCCAGGAAAGTTGGTGGGCCTGCACCGAGCTCGCATGTGACGTCTGTCCTCAGGGCCTCCGCTGACTCTTGCCCACAAAATCACCAACAAGCTACTTGCTGCCAATTCACTCCGATATCTCCATCGCACAGTTGACGGATTGTCGGCTTCGACGAGCACAGCGCCAATCCGAGCCTGAGTGAATGCGCGCCTTTCTCTTGACCAACTTACGTCCTCACATTGCTGTACGCCCACCATTGACTGCAATGGGCCGTCATCGCGGAGGGAAGGATAGCGCCGCGGCAAAGAAGCCTCCTCTTACGCATTTTCTATGCTTGCCTCTGGTTACATCGGCATCAAGACCACAGCTCGAGCATGCTCTCCGAGCCTTCATACAGGATGTCTCCAGCACCTCAGCAAATCCTGCCTCATCTGCTGAGCAACAGGACGATATACCCTCGCCAAATATTCACCCGAAAGCCATACGACCCACCGGTTCCTTGCATTTGACATTAGGCGTTATGAGTCTATCTCAGGAGCAGCTCGCCAGGGCCACAGAGTGCCTTGATAAGCTTGATTTCCCGTCTCTTCTGACTTCAGCTGAATCAACAGCAACACAGGGCATAACAATCACTTTGCAGGGACTGCAGTCAATGCATACTCCGGAAAAGACTAGTATACTGTATGCAGAGCCGGCAGATGCTACCGACAGACTCTATCCCCTCTGCCTCGCTCTCCAGAAAATCTTCAAGGAAGAAGGGTTCTTGGTCGAAGACGGCCGCCCTCTGAAGCTGCATGCGACTGTTGTAAACACTATTTGTGCAAAGGGCAAGAAGAAGCCTACGCAAAAGCCTGTCAGTATTACGCCCGACGGACGTGTCCTCTCTGCAAGTGCAGGCGAATCATCTGAAGATCGCTTGCAAGGCCATGGTCCAACAGCGAACGCGCCTCTGAAGATCGACTCTCGAGCTTTACTTGCCCGGTACAAGGACCACATCTGGGCTTCTATCGAACTGGACCGTGTAGCGATCTGCGAGATGGGCACGAAGAAAATCACCGCCACGGATGGAACTATTATTGATGAGCAATACACCGAAGTCGCGAGTGCTCCTCTGCACCCGTAGGACAGTCGATCAACGAGTATGCCAGTCCTGAGTTGCGCCATGTGCGACAGAGAAAATGACACCGTTTTCATAATCTTCGACTTTGCATAACAATCCGGGTTGAAGTGAGCGCTGGCGTTATGCAGTAGGGAGAACATGGAACGAATCCCGTGCGAGTGCGCGGCAGGGTTTGCGATAGCATTTCAACCACAACGTGCTAGACACGAGAGGCGCTACTTGAGTCTCGACTCTCGACTGCTCGCTGAGCAGAACTTTCGGATCCGAGCCGGCACAAACATTCGTGCATTGGCAGACAAGACGATTCAGTGCCGAGCATTGTGTTTCGCGAGTCATATGTCACTTCATGGACCGCACTACGGGCGTGGGCCGGCCATTGTCCTGAGTGCAAAACTGCACTCCTGGACTATCCTCTCTGTTCGCTGGACGGTCCTGAGCACTGATTATCAGAGCCCGCTGTCGTAAGATACGAGAAATTGCAATACACTGCTGAAACCCGTGAGGTCAAAGGCTAAAATACGCGCTAGCTGGATCCTGCGGTGATATGAAACTCAAGCTAAGTCAGGCTCATGCAATAACAAGAACGCCTCTGCCGATGCGGAGTCTGCGACACCATTTGACTAGTCTTCGCATCCCAGTAACTATGTTCAAGATTAGGTCTTGCATCTTCCGCAGCGGGTGGGCTGGAGTCGCGCCCACCTGAGTACGAACGGCCGATCATGCTGTGTGCTCTTTCTCACCATACATTTTCTTCACTTCACACTAATCATCACTTTCATTCTTAGCGGTGGCACTTTTGCCACGTCCACTCGTTTTCAAACGATGCGTTTCGCTACTACAGCGGCTGGAGTCGCTCTATTGACACTTGTGGGCGCTCAGTCAAATAACAACACCACTTCAAGCAGCGCATCAACCAGTGGTGGAGGAGTCACGTCGACTGCGACAGCCACTGCCCTCGAGACTGGTTCCAGCGCACCGGCGTTCTCATTCGATCCAAGTCCATCTCAAGATCTTCCCTCCACGTCCGCCCCATCTAGCACGAACCAGCCATCGTTCACTTTCGATCCGGCGTCCACGACAACAGAGCAGCCATCGTTCGTATTCGTTCCTCCAGGCTCGAGTTCGAGTGAAGAACCTACGTTCGAATTTGTTCCATCGACTGTCGCGGAACAGTCTACTTTGCCAACTGCGCCGCCGAATACGCCCGAGCAGCCACCTCCAGTGTCCACGCCATCGAAGACAGAAGAGCAGCCAGTGGTAGTGCCTGCGCCTTCACCAACTACTGAGCAGCCGACCTTTGTCTTTGTACCTTCCCCAACAGGAGAGCCATCGTTTGTCTTCGATCCTTCTACTGGCGCTGATGCGTCCAAGACACCGGAGCCGCCCATCGTGGCACACCCAGACACTGCGACGCCCCCCGCTGCAGTGATACCGGCGCCGCCAGCAGAGACGGTCGATACTGTTCGAACACCGATCAGTGCCCCGTCAGCCGGTTCGCCTGCCCCGAACAGCGGAGTAGCACCTCCTCCTGAGCCCGCTCCCGCCCCGATTGCGAACACGCCGCAGCCTCCCGCGACACCTGGCCAGGGAGCGACTGTCGGACAAGAACAAGCACCTGCTGCGCCCCCGGCTGCACCTCCCGCTGCTCCCTCCGCCGCTGACAGTCATCCTCCGCCATACGCTGTGCCTGGAACTCCACCAGCTGCTCCAGCTCCAGCTCCAGCCCCTGCTGCTGCTGTGCCTGCGCCCGCAGCACCCTTGCCTCCACCTAACAACGAAACAGCCCCAGCGTATGAAGCTCAGCCAGTACCAATGGAGCCTACGACCTTGCTCACATCATCTTCGATTCCTGTAGCGCCAGTACAGACTGAAATCCCAGCGCCAGCTGCACAGTCTGACGTATCATCTCCATCAGCTGCACTGCCAGTCCCAGCAGCGGCTTCTATGCCGCAGCCTTCTGAGGTCGTCTATCCGGTAACAGCGACTCAGTCTGCTCATTCACAAGAGGAAAGCTCGGCAGCGGACGCTTTGACTTATGACGGACGCACTGTGAGTCTGGTCGGTATCACTTTGGCAGCGGAGCCAACGATGAGTACGAGTTCTGCTGCGAGCGATAGCACAAGGACTGCTGTCTCAGAAACATCCGGTGCGGTTGATCAGAATGGCGCGAGTGCCATGCGTAGTGGACTGGGTATCATTGGCGCGATGGGTTTTGGGCTTTGTGTAGGAATTGTGATCATGGCATAATAGAGTTGGAAGAGAATGACGCGAAACGACAGTGACAAGAACTAATGTATCGGGCACAGCTTTTTCGAGACCTTGTATAATCTAGTGGACGTACACAGTATGGACTTTTCTGTTAGCACACGAACAGCAGTGGAGCTGTGCTTGTCATGAGTGTGGTGCAACATGACCATGGCCACGAAATTCATAAAATCGTGAGATTTGTTCCTTCGTAACGCTGCTTGTGCATTGCCGTGGTCTATTACCATACAGGCTACTCGACCCAGCAGATGAACGTGCAGCTCTTGCCTTTGCCCATCCGTGCTGAAATGCAGCGAAGCCCAGCCATGCCCATAACGCCACACAGAAGTCTGGTTAAGCGCAGCCCTTTTTCTTCTCCCGAATCTACCTCTACTTCCTGATGGCACGCTGGTAGAAAGCAAGCTCCTCGCCCTCCAAGATGTAACCATCGACACGGCCGCTCTGGCCTGGACGGCTGGCAACAACGGCGTAGAGACGACCGGCCTCGAATTGACGCTCGATGGCGGCCTCAACCTTGCCAGCAGCCTTGTGGCGCGCAGCCTGCTTGGTCTCAACGCTCTTGCTCTTCTTGACCTCCTCAGCCTCAGCCTTAGCCTGGCGTCTGCGACCAAGTGGCTGGCCGTAGTGGGCCTCGTACCACTGACGGAAAGGCGCAGCGTCGACCTGGACAACGGCGGACTTGGTGAGGGTGTTGGTGCGGACCAACTCGTTGTTCGAAGGGTGGTATGCCACGGCAATCACACGGACCTTGCGAGAGATGCCCTCGCTGCCCCAGGAGAAGTTGCCGGAATCGAGGCGGAGACCACGGAACTTGCGGTTGCCGCCACGGGTGCGGACGAGGTGGACGCGCTTGGCTCCGATACGGGTGTTGGCGGGTTGACGACCCTTCTCGAAAGCTCTGTTCTCACATATCAGAAAATTGTTCTGATATGGGTGGAGAGACAATCGGGTTATGCATACCTCTTCTTGCGATAGTATGCGCGCTTAGCACCAGAGGCGCTGCGCTTGTGACGGGAGTCACGAGAGATACTGCGAACATGTCAGCGAGTGTCGCGTGCGACTGAGGGTATTGGAATGGTATGGACGATACCCCATGTTGGCGGTTTGTGAAGAAGTCTGTCGGATCGCTGTTAGTCGGTGCCTGCTACACAATACTGCTCCAGTCAATGCTGAGCGTGGGTAGACGTACAAATTGGCGGTCTCTTCACGGGCGCTGGGTGGATGGTCGTGCTACAACTGCGAGCCTGAAGTGTCGGCGTTGCAGCTTTCCAGACAGCCAGAAACGAAAAGCGAGTGTGCCAAGAATGTGGGTCCGGCCGGAGCCGAGAGCCCTAGACTCGTGGCGATCCCTGCCTACTCGGTTCTGCCACCACCACACATCTTGTTCTCAATTCAACTCTCTGTTGCCATCACATATCGTGTTCTCAGAAGAGCATGCGACTGATCGGCGCGCAGTCTATCTTATCATTTCATAATGGCTCTGACCTTTCGGGATCCTCGCGCTGCTGAACAGAACGTCGCGCTGCTGAACAGAACGTCATGCTTCTCCGCGATCCTAGTCAGGCCTAGACGGGTTCATGGCGGTCTACATTACGAGGACACGAGTATAGACATCTTCGAGACGTTATTCCACTCTCGACCAATCCTCCGCTGAGATCAAAGACGGGCGCGCCCCTGGAGGTGCTCCAAAATTTGGACCGTATTCTCTCTTAAGCACATTTGGCAAGACCACTTCGTCGCCCGAATGCACACATTTACGGACAATCCACTGTTGCACTGTGATTTGGTAGTGGACCTGTTCCACTTTCTACTCTACGCCCACACTTCTACCCGACATTCTCAGTCATGACCTTGATTCTATGTCATTCAGTTCTGCAGTCTACGTTAGCTTCCAGCCACGTGCACCAGCGGAACATATTACGATGCCATCCATACTCTTGGAAATGAAGGGTAAGCAGAAGAAATGCACAGACTCGCAAGAAAATAATTCCCAGACACAATCCGAGTCAGTTTGAACCATCGTCCCCGTTCACAGAGCAGCGGCAGCAAGTGAGGAAGGGTGCATGAGATTCTCGCCACAGAAAGTACATAAAGAGACGACATTCCAACACAAAAGAACTACTTCACTCATCCAGCAAAACCACCAAGCGCCAAACAACCATTCCATTCAAAATGAAATTCCTCGCCACCACCATTCTCTCCGCCCTAACCCTCCTCACCGCCCCATCGCTAGCCCAAGACGACCACCTCTGCGCCCCCATGGTCTTCTCCGCCCGCTACGACGACCTCGTAGCCCCCAGCCTCGCCCTCCTCCAAACCCAATGCTACAACCTCTGCGCCAGCGCCCGCAACTCCGCAATCAACCACTTCGGCACCTGTTTCTGGCAAAACGTCGCCAACGTCGAACTTCAATCCGCTCATCTCGTTCGCTCCGCTCGCTGTCCCGATCGCTGTACTCAAGCGTCGGTGTGGAGCGGAGATTGTGGTTGTACGCTTGATGCGAAGGATATTTATGTGGCGAATGATGTGGAGATGTTTCCGGATTGTGAAGCACCGAAATTGGCGCTTAAGTGCTTTGATCGGCAGGGTTGGACGCAGAGGTATGGGACGGAGTCGCCTGCTAGGCCTTGTCCTGGGACGAGTATGGTTTCTCAGAAGAAGGTTGATGGCAACAAGGGCAAGGAGATCGGGAAGGAGACTGGCAAGGAGACTGGCAAAGAGACTGGCAAGGATGCCAAAAAGGTGCAGAAGCTGGTGGTGGGCTGAGTGGTGCTCTGTGAAGGCAAGGCGGGAGGCAAGGAGGGAAAGAGGATTGTGTTCTTGAATACGGCAACCATAGGCTGTCGCAATTATCCTAATAAGGTTTGTGAATTCATTGCGCTTACTTATGAATTCCTGACATGCACAACTAGTTCAGCACCAGGTGTTCTGTCGTGCATACTGTGAGCTACTTGATTTATTTCATGGTCCATGTCTACACAAACAATGCTTCGCTCTCGTGACTGATGCCGTCCACCCCGACTGCACCATACACCTTCAATGGCACAGCAATCTCAAACGTGTCCGCTGGCAGTCGTTCCTTGGCGATCCAACTGGTCCCACGCTCATCGCTCCCAAGCTGTTCGAGCAATTCACCATCACCGCCCGTGCCCTCAATTCCTAGTCCTTGAGACTGTCTATGTGTGGTGAATTCGACCCGGAGCCGCCAATGTAGACTGACTCCAGTAGTCTCAAAACTTGGAGCCGCACTGGAAGGTATGGCAAGGCTGAATCCAATTTGCCTCGCAAACAGCGATGACTCTCTTACTGCCGCGTAGACTTTCCGAGTGACTCGGCTGATCGAGCTGCTGCTTCGGAGTGCAAGTGAAGCGTCCACACTTTCACAAGATTCCAGCTCGATCAGTAAAGAATACGTCGAAGCCCGGTGGGGCATGTTTATCGCCATTGAAGGAGCAGCAAAATCAATGGTACCAGTCACTAGTTCTCCGAGTCTGTATGCAGGCCGAAGCATTGTGAGTACGGCGACTGGTTGTCCAGACCGGGCAATATTGAACCTGTTATTACTCTGCGACTCTCTATCCCGCGAGCTCCCAGAATTGCCTCGATTGGCGCGGAGGATTGCGAAGTCAATGGCTTCCTTGATATTCGTCGGTGCCAGATCAACGACGCTGTTCTCTCGCGAGAGCATAGATCCGGGCGACGTGGGTGAGGTTGGCGACAGTAAGACGCCGTTCGAGTCCATGGGCATGTCCAGCAGTCTTTCAGTGTAGCGTAAAAAATCTTCTAGGCCCTGCTTGGGCGACTTCTTTGTCTTGGATACGAGATCCGACATAAATTTGGGCGCAGCACCAGCCCGAGATGGCTCCGATGGGACGCTTGTCGTCCTCGCAGCATCTTGCAATAAAATATAGGGCGACATGAGGTCGTGCCCAAGCGTGTCGCCACGCGAATCGTAGCTGCCGAGCACGCGGAATGGTATCTCGACGTGCTTCACGGCTTGGCCTTCCGGTCGCTGAACGCCGAGCGATAGATGATAGGTGACCTTCATTGCGCGTCCCTTGTGACTCGGCGGCAGGCCACGTGGAAGGGCGAAGCGATAGCTATAGCTCTTGCTCTCGCCAGGCGCAAGCTTCAAGTCCACGAACAGCAAGCTCTGGGGAGTCGAAAGTAGGGGAATCGTCTTGGAGCCCACTGTGGCTTTCATCTGCGCCATCGAGCTCATCTCATCCCCACCTAACAAGCCACCGAGAGACTCTCCTATGCTCCCCCAGCTCAAAGCACCGAACAAGCCTGAAGATCGCTTCGAACGCTCGACACCAACAACGCCGCCGCCGCTTTGCACTCCCTTTCGTTTCACTTCCTCGAAAGGTGCTGCATTGACCAGACTGCCATCGATTGTGAATCTTCCTACGGTTTGCGCGTAGGCCATCATTAGCGTTTCCGGAACGGCAGGCTGGTTCTGCGGGGATCGTGAAGGTTGTCGTGAATGCGCGAACTTGGGAAGTAAACGTCCAAATTGCTGCTGAAGTGGGAGCTCAGAAGTCATGGTCTCATCGCTGTGGTTGCTCATGGCATAGAACTCGCTGCTCGTTCTCGGTGTTCCATCCTGGGACGTCTCGGACATCACCCGTGCGATGGGGTTGAGGTTGCCTATTGTACTGGACCAACTGTCCTGTGGTTGTGGCGATCGCTGTCTTCGGCCAGAATGCATTGTCGAAGGATTTCGCGTGATTTTCGGGCGTACTGCCTCGGAGGGCTCAATGGGTGACGGAGCCTGCGCAGAAGGATCTAACGGAAACTTGAAGCTCTGGAAGGCAGCGGCATCTGGCCTTTCCGCGCTGGATTGCTTCTTCAAGCTGGAGTTACTGGGAATTCGAGGCGTGGTATCGGCAGATGCAGTGCCCGGTCGTCGTCGAGGCGGGCGTATTGGCACTGCAGGACCTGGCGAGGCATTGTCGTCCGAAGGACTCGTGGCTTCATACAAAGGCGATGGCTGCCGTGGTGACAACATGCCCAGAGGTGCAGCGGTGTTCGCTCCCAAACTCGATGTGTATTGCAAACTAGTGCTCCGACCGTGTCCTTTCCCAGCCCTCTTCCCTGGTCCAGCATTTGCAATGGGCATCCTCCCTTCACTAATCGCCTCGCTCCCAAGCGACATGATCGATAGACTTCGTCCATGGCCCTTGTCTGGTCTGGATGCACTCGTTGGCGTGTTTGCAGTCTGGGGCGTCGCACCTAGTAGACCATTGCCGGGTCTCGGAGAGGCATTGCCCACGCTCAAGGATAGTGTAGGGCGGTGTCCCTTGCTGCCTTGTGTGCCCTTTGCGCTGGCCGCTGACACCGACGGCGCCCTAGACAGCGATACGGGAGGAGGTTTGATCTGTGCCAGTGACGACCGCCGACTGTGCACCCTCGACGGGTCCATCGACTGAACTCTGCTATGCAGTCCGCCATTGCCCAAGGCATTGCCTGCACCAGTGTTGACTTTCTCCGCGCCAGCACGCCGTGCTATGTTTCTGAACGTGATGATGCATTCTATGTGCTCTCCTGCGTACACTGCCGGCTCTTTCCATTGTACGTAGGCGCGGATGTTCGACTGCGCATGCGGCGCTGGCGGCATTGTGTGTTGGTCGTTCTAGATCGCAGCTCGCTCAACTTTCCATAGCGATGACGACGCGAGCGCATCCTTCGGGGGCTCACTTGGTGATGCCGCCCAGCAGTATTATTTCGGTCGACACGCAACAAAGGCGATGGCAGGATAGCATGGCGCGTGGCAGCTTCGGCGATGGGTGATGCAAAGGCGACGGCGCCGTGTTTGCGGCTCAGCTTCGAGGTGAGAATGCCGGCCGCAGATCACGTTCTCCCGAGCCGCGCTGGATTGTGGCAGTGGATGACGAACTCGCGCAGAAAGGGGCATTGGAATTTATGCAGCATGTTGTCTGACGACCACGCCTCGTTTTTGCATGGATTAACTAACTTGTACGCAGTTATTCGACGCCACCGGCTTCACTGCGAGGTCGTCCGGTTTCACCCTCGCCAAGCCATTCTTGCCATAGAAATCCATGGGATACACAGTCTCCTGCTTCTCGCCAGTCACTTCATCAATCTGTCCCTCCCACCCTTTTCGGGCGCCTAGCACTACGAGAGCCTCGTAAGGTGTCAACAGCGGGCGCGGGAAGGCATAGCCCCAATCGATGCTCAGCCTGGGACAAGCAACCTGGACCCAACACTCGACATCTGGCATCGTAGCCAGTTTGCCGGGAAAGATTTCGCTGAGAAGCAGATTTATCCATGTAATCCCTTGTTCGCGAAGATGGTTCTCAATGAGAGTCATGGTATGAGGATTACCTTGTCGTCCAAGACTGCCCAGTATCAAGCCCCATTTCTTTGCCTTTCGTGCTTGAGATAGTGCCTTGGAGCGGTCTGCAAGAAGAGTGTCATGATCATACGTCTCGTGTGTTAGCCGCCGTGAGTATGGATCGTATCGATACGCTGGGGTGGACGGATTGTGTATCATGGCGCTTTCCAAGTGGAATCGACCATCGCCAAGATACAGTATGAGATCCACGCTTTGCTCCTTGGTCAGCCGAGGGGATGTACAGCCGAGGATCTCGCCCTTGGAGAGCGGCATGATCTGAGGGACAATGAGATTGTAGCCCGCTGAGCGCAGTTGTTGCGACGTGCCGTGAAGAGTAGCGTTGAATTGGATCGTCCCTACCATCGCAATCGTGCTTCCAGACTTGAAGTTGCGTTCAATAGTGGCAAGCAGATGCTCGACATCAATCTGTATGTCCACGAAGACATACAGCGTCTGGATCTTGGTTACGTTGACGGGAATCAAACAAGAGTGAGCATAGTGTACAAGCATGTCGCAGCCGAGGGCACGAGCCGTGTAGTCGTCGATGCAGCAAGCACCATACGTGACGTCGCCCATGATCAGCGTACTTACGCCGGGACAGAACTGCGTGATAATATCGGATATGGTAGTCGCGAACAGTAGTAGCCCCTCTGGCATTTGCAGTGCGATCTGTTTCGCGCCAGATGTCCTGATTCGATGTATCGTCTTGTGGATCTCGAAATTGTAGTTCTTGGGCAACAATGCAATAGCGGCGTTGATGTCCTTGTCGTACAAGATGTCATCTGGCACATTGTTCAATGCGCGAGCAGGCCGTCGCCGGGCAGCAACTATGCCCGTCAGCTTGATGGACGGTCTTGGTATAGGCAGGATGTGGCGTACCTTGAACGGCACCTGTTTCTTCGATCGAGCCACTGCCGGCCTCTGCCTTCGCTGCGGCTTTGGCGTCTGCCGCACGTCGGCCAATGAAGCGGCGCTTGGGCTGTTTCGGCTGTGTGGCGATGTCACCGTCGATAGAGGATGTAAGAGATACATCAGGGCCAAGATCGGCTGCCGCGCGATCAGACTCCATGTTGGCAGCGTAGCAGTGACCTTGCGTAAGTGCAGGTCTGTGTGAACAATGGCGACCAGGTTCTGATCTGACGCTTGCACTGTGCGTGGACAAGAAATGGCGGCAGAAATCTTGCCTGGTCGTGGCATCTGAAAAAAGACTTTAGAGTGTGAGACGAGCGTGGCTAGCGGCTCGCTAAGCTCCGGAGTCACGCAATGCTTAACGCATCCTGCTCGGGTGTTCCTGCATAGCATAGCAACGATTTCGCGCGAGCATGCTTGTTGTCACCGCGTCAGACGCAGGCCGCGCACACGGCCACTGCAGTCGGGGCGATACGGCTCTGCAAACGGCGTGGTTGCGAGCGCAGCGGCAGGCGGAGAGGCATAGCTAGGCGAGGCGAATCTATTTCGAAGCATGGATGCGCTGGGTCGCGAGGAGCCGCCGTTGGCCCCCTGGTCGCCGCCGTGGGCGATCCAGCAGAGAGCGCCGGCTGAGGCTGGCTCGTGGCGGCGCGCAGCAACATGGAGTGGAGACGGGTTTCAGAGTGGGCACGAGGCCGGTGCAGCACACGCAGCGCAGGAGGGTGCCACGGGAGGACGTCGTTGCAGCCGGAGCGCAGACGAGGTGTATTGTGTACGCGTCGTGCAGCAGAATTTGAGTGCAGAATATGGCGAGAGTGGAGTCTGGGTGGATCGCGCTCCGCGCCATTCAGGGTGAAGTCAATTG